TATTATTATTATTACTATTGCAATTATTATTGTTATTATCATTACTACTGTTAATTTATTTAACACTTGATTTTTTTTCGATAATTGATTTATAAAATTTTGTCGATCACTTTTAATCGATTGTGGAAAAATCGATTTTTGTATAATCAATTAACATCCCTAGACTTCCAATTAATAAAAAAAACATACCATTGTATTACAAAAAACAACTTGTCAATATACCTGGAATTGGTAATATTGATGATTCAATTGATTAACTGTTATGATCAATGTTATCAGAAACATCAGATAATAAATTCTCTTCTAATTCAAGTGGTGTAAATGATGACTCTTCTTCAAGATCTAATTCATCAATAACTGTTCTGAATTTCTACATTAGAAAATCAATGTCTTTATTTTTTTTTTTGGTAGATGTTTGAATTATTGCCATGGATTTCAAGTTGTCTCTTGACAAAGAAATATTATATTAATTAACACTAGTTTATATTATAAAATGCTATGGTTTTTACTAATTTTAAAAAAATAGAAAAATTTTTTTTATCAATACTATTTATTATTACTACAGTAGACTTTGTTACATTATTATTATTATGATTACTATTATTAGTGATAATTTTGAGATGATAATGATAATGACATCTGATATATGTATGGTAAATGTTGTGATTTTTATTATTTATATACTTAATTTTATTGATTTGTAAACAGAAATTGCACTTTGTGAAATAAGGAATTTTAATTAAAAAATTTTTTTTGTGGGTAAATCAAGATGACTTAAGCCAATCGATAAGTGATTAAAGTTAAGTTGTTACTTCAAATTACATGAAAAATACTTAATACTTTAGTCAAGTCATGTCGATTAAACCTTGGGATTACGCGACCGGCCCTAATATCCGCCACATATTACCAACAAATTTAAGATGATCAACAACCAACATGGATGTTGAAAAATCGAAAACTTTCTTCAAAGTACATACCGGTTCCATTCCTTGTAGGAAAGCAGGTTCTTTAACTTAAGTCGTGCTTGCATCGTATGTGGCATAATTGGAAGTCACAAAGTAATATTTAATTGCAAATAAACCAAAAGTCACTATTATTATTTTTTCTTATTGTTTAATGAAAATCACAATATTGGATCTTTTACCGGACCAAAATTGGACATAGCTTGAGACCCCATATTTTCAAACATTTATTGTTATCATGAAGAGAGAAATAAATTCATTCGCTTGCAGTCAGACATTGTCATTTATGCAAGGAATACATACAAGATGGCAAATGGCTTCACAGCCTTAGAAAATATTAAGATTTTGAGGAAATTAACGATTTTAGCAAATTATGAAAGCGAAATTTAATATTATTTATCATCAACCAAAATGTTATAATATGCGGTTCAAAAAATATAAAGTGTGAAAGATTAAATTCCTAGAACGATAATATGATGCGATCATGTTGGACGGAAATTGGTGCAAAAAGATTTTCCAAAAATGGAAATCACATGATTTGAAATAAAAAACCCTATTTATCAACCAATAAAATTGGGTTGCATGCTTATTTAGTTTTATTGGAAGTTTTTTTTTTTACAAAAAAATAAAATAAATATATATAAAATAAAATAAAATAAAATAAAATAAAATGAAATAATAAGATGAATAAATGAATAATAATAAAGATTACAAGACAAAAATTCTAATTTAATAATCGTAAACGTAGTAATAGTAAATATAATAATAATAGTAATGGTAATAGCCAATGCTGTTCTTTAGTTTAGGGAAATCCCGAAATTAAAACTATCCGAAGGTGACTTAAAAGAGTTTAGGCTACAGCAAATGATCACTTATCAACAACACAAGGACATTCGAAAACAGCGCCTGAGGTAAACATATGGCAATCAAACCTGCGCCCAAAATTATTCGAAATGTTCGAGTACCATATACTCGAAAAATCGAATAATTTGCCCCAGATATGAATGCCAGATATTTACCTCAGTCATTGGTTTAGAGTGGCCATGTGTTATTGATCATGTCAAGGGTTGTGACGACGACAATGATTGTTGCCTTCGTGGTTGTTGTTCTTGTCGTCGAGTATCATTGATATTGTCTTGGTGGTTATTAGATAATTTCGAGGGTATACTTGAATGGGTTTGGTTCGAATCTAATATTTAATTATTAAAGAAAATTAAAGAAAATTAACATTAAAATCTAAAATCTAAAATCTAAAAATGGTTAACTGATTAATTGATAATAATAATTACCTGAATTGGAGATGTTCGAGTCTGATTTATTATTATTATTATTTATAATTTTCAGAGTATTCTCCGAAAGTTCGGGTCTTTTATTACCATTATCATTACCATTAACATCAAAATCACCATTATAAATTGATTCTTGATCATATGCGCCAAAGCCTGATATTTGGTCATTAACATCATATGATGAATCGGTTGCTTGATTGCCACTGGTCTTTTTCGAGATAAATATATTGTCATTTCGTAAGTCTATTTCCAATTCTTGTTCTTTAATTTTCGTAATCGGCATTATTTGTTGTTGTTGTTGTTATTATTATTGTTATTTATTATTTATTATTTATACTTAATTATGTATTTTGGTTGTTGTTGCCGTTGTTAATGTCGTTGTAACAACGCTGTAATAAATGAATTATAGACCAGTGGCAATCAAAAAGATTTTGTGTTGGCTTTTATCGGGTTATATTTATTATTTAAGTGTTTATGAGGATATTCAGGCTTTAATATTAAGTAGATTTCACTGCCGAACAGCAACAAGAAAAAATTTTAGGTAATTGGTGTTATTGGAAGAAATAGTTAATCATTATATTGCGAAAGAGAGCTTCTATGTTAAGATTTGTGCTTAAATTTAAGATATATTTATATATAATAATGTAATGCATGATGCTTCAAAAAAATTATTAATCAGCGGTTAAACTAGAAACATCTCCAGAAACTCACAATTTGACTGGATAACATTGTTACACCACAATTCCGCGTAAAATTTCATTACTGTTTTGAATGTCATTCTATCTATTTTATCATATGCTTCGTGTAACAACGACGACTACATGAACGTGAATAATCGATCCATAAATAAATAAATAGAAAAAGTATAAAATATATAAATGGACTTTTGAAGAAAAAACAAAAAACAAAGCCATTAAATATATAAATAAATTATGACGTTTAATTAATGGCGTCAAGCATGCATGTGTAACAGGTTTATTGTATGCCGAACTTTGAAATGAACTTACAGACAATCCCATTTCATAGATTACTATCAAACCAATGGCACTATATCCGGGAAACTGTGAAAGCTATTTTTAAAATAAAAAGAATATAATTATGTAATGGGAAAATAATTTTCCTGTACATCCTGAATATTCAACGATGGGTAATGACCAGGTTGTTTCGTATTTTTTTAATAACCACGGTGGTCATAAATTTTATGACCCCAACGACGTGATTTGAGGTCACAAGCAATGACCAAGTCATTTAGTTTAAATTGACCAATAAAATTTATAATTGAAATTTTATGAGGAAATTTTATTATTAATATTTATTTATCCCTCAAAGGAAATTTACACCAATGTAAAATGTTTTCAAATAGTATCTCTATGTTAATATGTAAATAAACAAAAATTTGGGTTTATGATTATTTATGTAATTTTTGGTCTTTTATTCATGTAGTACAAACTCCACTAGTTACATTATTTGATTTTTTAATATTGCCTGATCCAAAATTTCAATGGTATGATTTAAAAAATACTATTATAGTGAATCATAAAGACCGACACCAGGGAATCATTTTCCTGAATATAGAGAAAATAGGATTGTATGTGAGCATTGTAAATATCAAAGGCAAGAAGAAGGAATAAATGCTACAACTAATGATAATCGTTCACATGTATTTTGTACTCTATGTGATGTTGCTTTATGTATCTGTATTATAAATTGTTTTTCTCCCTAAGTAACCTTGTTTATTAGAACAAGTATCTTCGCATACTTTGCGGTTTTATATCAGATATCATAGGATAACAACTTTTTCTAATTGTGAATTTCAAAAATTTTTTCCTCTTTTAATTATTGTATCTAGGAGATTCTAACGACAATTATCCTAACAAGAAAAATCAACAAACCACAAATTCATTATCATCTCTCATTTTTTTAGGTATTATTAAATTCCAATACATATTTGTTTTCAAGAAGGCGGTATTGTTTGATTTGCTGTGATCAGTTATCAAAGCCATTTGGTTATTAGTTGTCATTTACCAATACTCATATTTGCACAATAGATTTTTTTCACCAGAGAATAAACTATGATGTTTAAATGTACTTTTATATACTTAAAATTCTTACCACAACCTAAAAGTGTACAAACAGCCCTTGATCTATGATGTTATAACTATTGCCGCTATTATTAGCCTTATTAGTGAAAGTAGCAGCTTGATTCGGCCACCACCGCCATCATCAACATCTTTCATTGTCATTGTCTTCACTACTATAATAGTTGTTGATATTGTAATTATGACTATGATGATAATGATCTCTTTGTTAAAATATCATTGATTGATTTTGAAATTTAGACCAATAAATTTTTAATTTGATGTACAGCAAATCATAGTAGACGTTTTCCAGCAAAGTAAATAATCGATGATATTGGCCTGGCTCGATTACCAGAAATTAAAACGAGAATTGTATGTGATCACGTGATATGGAGGGTGGTGAGTAGAAGAATGCATAAATTATTGCAGCCTCTGCAGATATATATATGGATGCCTTATTCGTAAAGTACATTTCATAGTATTAGTATCAAAAATGCCAGTAGTGTCACCACACACATTGCCTATATCCAGAGAATAACGGATTATGATGTGTTCATCAATCTAACAGTTAAGCCAAACCAGCAATAGTCAACATTTTAAGCAAAATTTAGCCCATTCATCATTTTTTTCATGCTATTCTCTTCTTATTAAACCATAATTTCCATCATCCACCAAATTAAACTCCATGGAGTGAGCTTCTTGACTCCTCTAAGAATTACCATCCGTTCACTATGGCAATAGATAATAATTGTATAGTAATAGATAGTTGGTGATCATTAATGGTCCTTGTGCTTAGACATGGTTTACCACCTCCATGTGTAAATATATAAAATCTCGCATATGTTAAAGCGATGGTAGAAATCGGCAGGATCCAACAACCAATTCAAACAGTCCGTGATAATATACTCACCGAATGGCTGATGGTGGCGGATAAATTAAAAAATCTGTTGTATATGTGGTTATTAACAAAAAGGAGGAGGAGAAGTTTTTGTTATGGTTGTTGGTAATATGACGGTGCTGCTGTTGTCTATTATTCTTTTGACGCAATTAGACAATCAGTTTTTTTGATCAAGAATTGCGAACGTGGTTTTTTTAATCGCACCAGTATTTAAGAATGCGAATGTAATAGAGAGGATAGATATCGATCGATTTGTTTTCAAGAATTATTTATTTTTATAAATATTATTTTATAATAAAATATTCTTCAAAAAAAAACACACATATTGAAATCAAAATCATGGTAAAAAAAGTTTTTGTCTTTTGGAATTAAAATACAATATTAATATTAATCGACTTCTTCCTCTAAATCTGGAAATTTACGCAATTTCGTATAAAGATTATCAATTCGATGTCTTATTGCTGATTTGGAACGTTCGGGAAGTTGTTCCACAAGATCGTTGGGAGAAGGTCTTTGAATATTCTCAAATAATAATTCATAAATCACTTTATCTTCCTAGTAATCGTCAACACGAAATGTTAGGATATGAGAAAATGACGATGACATTGAAATGACATTTACTTACTTCTTTGCTCCAAGATTTAGGTTTTTTGGTGATTTTTTGAGACGATGACTTTTTATTGTCATTTTCGCTTTCAGTAGCAGTATCTTCATCTTGTTGTTGCTTGTTATTAGCCTTGGTATTTGTGGTAGCTTTTGTGGTAGAAGAATTCTTATCCTTGACTTTTTTATTTTTTTTAGCATTAGCAGCAGTTGTAGTATTAGTGGCGGTAGAATTTGATTTTCTTGTACGTTTAGGTTTTATTGGTGTAGTGTTATTATTATCATCATCATCATCATTGTCATTATTAGTATTAGTGTTATTGGCAGTATTTGTAGTAGGGTTAGCATTACTGGTTTTTCTTTTCCTTGTTTTTTTTGGAGGAGGAGGTGGTGGTGGAGGTGGTGATGATGGCGGTGGTGATGATGATGACGACGAAGCTGACGTCGTCTCAGCTTGTTGTGCTGAAGCAGTAGTAAGAGTAGATTGAGGTTGTTGTGAAGAGGATTTTGAAGAAGATTGTGATGGCTGCTGCTTTACTGATGATGACGTCGTTCCGCTTGTTAATAGTGTCGCTGTTGTTGTTGTTGCTGGAACAGGTAAATTGTTAGGCGTAGATGTGATGGTGGTGGTAGTTGTAGTGGTAATATTTGTTAAAGTGGCAGTTGCAGCAACGGGGTCAAAGGATAGAAATCCTCCATTAACAAGGAGATGATTATTATTATTATTTTCTTGATCTAATAAATAATTACCAATTATTAGATTATTATTATAATTATAACTTTCAATACCATCATAATTAACATCATAATTATCATCATTAAGATTTAAATTTAGTTCATAAGTTGTACTTTGAGTTGGATAAGTTGAGGAGGCTAAAGACATCAAATCAACTTGATCAAATTGATCAAAGTCGAATTGGTTGTTGTATAGTTGATCATCTAAATCATCTAAATCTGATCTTGACATTTTGAAAAGAGAAAGAGAAAGAGAAATGGAACGAATAGTGAGGGGGTAATAATAATTATATTTTTATTTATTTCTTTTACAACAAATAAAATTCACTTGATATTAAACAACGAGAAAAAAATTTTTTTTAATGATTTATATTTAATCTTATTAAATTGACAGTTGATATATAAAAAAAAAAAATTTAAATAAATAAATAGTTAAATAAATAATTTAAAATGATGGGTCACTTTGGCGCGCGCACACAATTTTAAAAAAAGTTGATTAATTAATCACCATTCTTCTTCATTTTTCTTCTAAAGAATTTTTAAAATTTCCTAATTCGCTCTTTATAAATGTTTGTAGTTGACTGATTATAAGTTTATTGTTTTGATTTAGTTGGTTTTGTAATTTTTGAGTTAATTCAGACTGAAATTTCTTAAAATCTGTTTTCTCTTTTTTCTTTGGTAGCACTGAAACAACTTCTCTCAACTTGTCAGAAATAAATGGTAAATTTTCTGGATCTTCCTTATTATTGTCTATTGATTTAATTATTTTTATAACTTCATCAACATAAACATCATAATATCTATATAAAATATATAATTAAAAAAATGTGTATATAAATTTTAAAATTATTGATCAATTATTTATTCAATAATAGGAACGAATAAATGAATGAAATCTTTACATTAAATCAGGAAACCAGTTTCTCCAGCGACGTTGTTGAGGCAATAAGTAAAATAATTCAATTTCAATTATTACCTACAAACAAAAATCAACAAATCAGCAAAAATGGAATCAACTATTTCCCAATTTCCCCAATTAATTAGCATGTATAAATTCTAATTTGATGTATTGACTTACTTTAGCTCTTTCAATTAAAAATGCTTCCTTTGTATTGTTTTCTTCTATTGCATTACTCAACAAGCCAATAAATAAATTCATTAAATAAACCACAATTAGAAATGAAAATGCCACCATGAGAAAAGACAAATAATACTGATCAGCAAATTGCCATTGTGAAAATGCACTTGAATCGCCTAATAATCAATTTATAGTTGGAAATATTAGTGTTCCAAAAAAACCAAATATCTGCCACTACACAAATTCTGACCATCAATTAATTAATTAATTAACTAATTAATAAAATTACCTGAAAGAAAATTATACATTGCCAGTGTTGAAGTGCCAATACCTGTGAATAAATTGGTGTTCTTGTCAGGTTGTTGTATATACGCATAATCGGTGTTCCCCTGAAAAGTATCATTCTGAATTATTAGCAAAAATTTATTTACTAAATTCCAAGGATCATTATCATCCACAATTTCAGAAAGAGTTGGTGGTTGATCAAATGAAGTATAGACTGTTCTTGGTTTTAGATAAATGTAAAATGCATGAGAAAAACTCAGGATCAATATAAATAAAATCACTAAAAATGAAAAAACTTTTTTTGCCACTCCAATAATTATAGCAAAATAAGCACCAAAGTATCTAAATGCTCTTAAAAATAACATGAATTTTATGTCCAATAATAAATTAGAAAATGAAATTAACCAAATTGGAGGTACGGTGTTATTGAACACCCAATATGATGAAGTAAATACTGTAAGTATATATGTAACTAAATCTAAATTAATTGATAAATTGAATGGATTAGATTATTATTATTATTATTATTATTATTATTATTATTATTACTCACTAAAATATTTCCAAAAATCTCTTAAATATGCTTTTCTATTCCAAATCAATTGTTTAACTTCAAACATTAAATGAATTAATCCTAATACAATTGTAATTATTAAATATTTATAATCATTATCATGTCCTTGATGTGGCTGCTGTTCTTTACCATTCGTAATAACCTCATCCTTGGAAAGTAGATGCATAGTAGTGCCACTGAATGATAATAAAAAGAATATATAAAATATCCATATTCCAACATAATATTGAAATCCAAATTTTTTCCACTTATAATTTAGAATTATTTCGCCATTCAAATATTTAAATAATCTTGTATGACTTACATTTAGGTGATTAAATGAATTGGATTCTGGTTTATAAAATATCTCTTTAAAAGGCGAACAATTTTCACTGGAATGACTAGTAAATCTTGGTAAAGGAATAACCAGAGCTAGACTAGAATATCTTAATTTCTCTCTACTGAATGATGACAATGTTAATTGTGTACTATTATGATTGTTATTATCATAATTTCTAATGTTATCGATGTGATTATTAAGAATATTTTCATTATGATTTTCAATATGTTCCACTATTCTTTTGTAATAATTAAAATATAATTTATAATATAAATTCCATATAGAACTGTTTTCATATATAACGAAATCTTTATTGTATCCATTTATTAAGTTTGATTTACTATAAGATGCATTATTATTGAATGATGGATCCAGAATAATTGAGATTTGATTATAGAATTTATCAACGATTAAAGGATAGTTTGCTTCCAATATTGATAATTTCAATGTTATCAAACTCAACAACCCCAAGTTTGACTTATAATTAGATTTAAATATACTTAAACATGTTTCAATGATTGCTTCTATTATGACTTCTTTATCATGAATAATTGAATATTGTAATATTAATTTGCCGTATTTAATAAATGATGGAACATTTTTACTATTCAATATATTATTAACTAACAAATCTCTAAATGGCTTGACTGGCTTTCTTTTTGGTTTTGGTTTTAGTTTTGCTAACCTCTTTCTCCTATTACTATCCTTGCTGTTATTACCATTGTCAACGTTATTATCATCATCACTGACATTATTATTATCATTTCTAATATAATCAAGAATATCATCACTGTGATCATCATGATCATCATCGTCATCATCGTCATCATCACCATGATCTTCCTCACCTTTGCCCTCATCCTCAAATGGCGATAATGTAAAATTAACATTTTTTATCACAAAATTGAAATCTATATTAAATAGACCTTGATTTAAACCGCCACCCTTATCATCAAAATTTACATAGTTGATAAATTTCAAATATATTTTATTATCATTATAACTATCAATTGAAAATATGAAAACTTCATTCAGTGTAACTACTAATAAATCTTCATTTTCTAAAATTTTACATGAGAACTTGTTTGTAGACAGAAAATAATCCAAATGTATTAATTTATCATTATTATTATTGTCATCATTACCACAACCGTATTTTTTAAACCTGATTATCAATAATTTTTCATCGAACCTATAATTCAACAACCATTTAATAGAATCCTGGACTAATTCTACTCTTTTTTCTTTCTTTCTCCCATTATTTTTGTCCTCATTCTCATACTCTTCGTAATCTTCTTTGGTTAATTTTTCATGAACTTCATTTATTTCCTTAATGATCATTTTCAAAATAGACCCAATATTATTGAAATGTTTTAAATGATTATTTGTGATCTTGGATTCTTTTATCACTGCTTTTTCTTTCCCTTCCCCTTCCCCATCTCCTTCTTCATCTTTGATAATTTTATCAATTACAATATAATTATCAATAATTTTGATTAATTTACTATTAAGTAAAAAACTGTTTTCATTTTTATTGTCACCAGCAGCAGTGCTACCGTTGAATATATCTGTTATGCAAGTATAGTTGTTAAGATCATAAGGATCGAATAATTTATAAGTAATTTCGTTTGATTGTTTATTAATCAAAATTGCAAATAAATGTTCAACATTATCTTTTGAATAAATGAATTCAATATCTTTAATATCCTCTTCTTTAAACCGTGCTAAATAATTTAAAAATGAGCATTAATGGTTCTAAATATTAGTTATAAAATCGAAGCAAAAAAAACCTGCTTACCTGATGATATTACTATTCCATATTCAACTGAACATACAACTATTTCATGACACAACTTAATTGCAACAATACATTCGTCTTTACTATAAATTAATTTCTTAATTATAAAACAAGGTCTTAATAAATAATAATGGTTTTCAAATGTCATTGTCACGTTATTTATTTGTGTTGTAAACAAATCTTTATAATCAATCAACATTTTTCTAGAATTCAGAAAAACATTTGGTCTATTATTAATTGTAGCTGGAGATATAATATTATATGATGTCTTATATATTGCTCTAAAATCAACATTATTATTGCAATCACAAGCGGATTTGAAGGTGAGAATGTGAATTTTTAAATCTTTGTAATTAAATCTTTCCTCGATCAATAACAAATTTCCATTAGTAAGGAATGTCATTTTATTGATTTCCATAAAAACTTTTGTAGTTATTTTACTTGGTAATTTGATCAATTTTTTATTATTCAAATTTAATATTGCTATAGAGAAAATAGAATGTGATGAGGATGAATATTATGATGAAGACGGATGGAAAAGATGGTATATATATTATGATTATCATCGTACTTTATATTATATAAATATATATATATATATGAAAAGATTAAATAAATACTTACAATCTTTTCCATTTAATACAATCAATTTATTATCAGATATTGCTTTAATGTATTCTCCACCTTTAGTTGTCACCAATTCATCAATAACTTTTTCATCACTATTATCATCATCAGTAATTTTATAATAATCATCTGGATCAAGTTTACCGAATTTATTATTATTCATCCATCCTGTAATTGATTTGTCTATTTTACTATATGTCACTAGATATTTATAATTAGGCGACGCTTCCATTTGTACAATAGGCTGTCCATTATGTGGTTTATTATTATCATCATCACCGTCATCATCAAAGTTGATCATATTAGTCACTTCATTTTTAATGTTAATTTTAACCACTTTTTCTTCTAAATTATTAGATTTTCCCATAATAATTGCCTTTTCTTTTTCAAATTTTCAACAATATTAAGAATTAAAAATAAATGGGGAAGAATAAAAGGATAAATTAATTATCTCCCAAAGAATTCATTGTTTTTCAAGATTTAATTTGTACCATGTAAAAAAACTTTAATTATATATACTATACATTTTGAGTGATTTACTATATTTGTTATATTTGTAAAATATCTAATATTAATGATATATATAATGCAAGTCACTTACTCGCTGAACATTTGTGCCACAACGCCAAGCATCAAAATGGAGGGAGACAAAACAGCAAGTTGCAATTTCCAAGTTTTGTTTACGAATATATTTACTGTGTTGGTAATGATAATGAACGAGTTGGATACTATATGTGCCATTTTTGGAGTTTAAATTGTACAAAATGAAAATCACTATGATTTGCCATTTTTGGAAGAATTAAAGGATCTACAAGACCAATAAAAAAAATTCCACAAGGAATAATATAACCATATTAATATGCGCTGAATTTGTTTGGACCCCAAAAATTCAGATCATAACATTATTATTATGAATACTTTAAATACTTTAAATACTTTATATGTACTAGCAAAAATCCATTGGTTTTGAGGCGAGGCCATTGATTTGACGGGCTGTGAATAGTAAAATTGTTTTTCTAACAAAGCAAATAAATTTTTTTAGGGTTAATTATCATTCTACTGACCAGTTTGCACATTTAAAAAAATACTCGTGTTTAACGTCGAGACACAATAAAATATAAGGTTTGAAAAAAGGGTCCAAAAAACCAAATTGGATGATATGATTTCTGTGTGTAAAATACACAAAAATCATCAGCTTTAATGATTTAACAAGTTCCCCCAAAAACATTTAATATTTTTATCTTTTGAATAAAAAATCATCAAACAAAAAATTTAATTCACTTGTTGTAAAGTTATTAATATTTATTAATATTAACTATGCTTGGAGACGAAATCCCCACGTTTTTTCATATTTGGCAAAGAACAAAAAAATTTGCTGTCGATTAATCGTGACTAAGATTCAAAATTCATTTTTTTTCTTTTCTATGCTGAGAACAAATCAATATGTTTGTTGATTTTGAGAATAACTAATTATGTATATCTCTGATTCTTTAGTAAAAAGAATATATAAATCCATGCGGGAGAATAATAAAATAAAGAAATTGTATATACATATCATTATGTAAAATGATTAGTAGACTTGCAGCCATTTTATACACTCGAGCCATTCTCAATTGAAAAAGGTGGATCATGAACAAAGTACTTCAAGTTTTAATCTTTTAGAGAGATTTTTAAAATGTCATGGCAAGCCTCATCCGGATTATTTTTGCCGAGCTTGGATTTTAAATAGGCGGGCCGGATTTCAACCGAATTGGACAACCTTATTATTGTTGTTATTATTATTATTATCAAATACAAATGCGAAAATATAAATAATAAAACTTCAATGATGAAATGAACTATATCTTCATTAACGTCCCAAATATTCATGAATTTCATCATATTTCGTTTTAGAAAAGGCATCTTAGCAATTAAACGGGTTCTTTTTGATTTGTGAACAGAAAAAAGGTGACTTATATGTTAATCGAATGATCATTGCATGATTATGTTGATAAATAATGTTGATTCAGGCTTTTAATTTCGTCAATTAATAATATAAATCAATGTGTGTTGAATAACAATAACAAATAAATAAATGTACATTATTTATAATGTGAGACAGCATGAATTAATTCTTTCAATCGGAATAATAATAGCAACCGTATTAGTATTAAAATTAATATTTGTAACGGAAATTCTATCATTGTCAAATGCAGGATACCTAATAGTGTATAATTAATGTAAACTAATTTAGCAATATTTAAAAAGTATTTCAGTAAATATACCTTTCCGATAGGGTTTCTAACTGAATAAGGTTTATTGAATAAAACGAATGATTCGAATAATATTAAATTTATTGCGTATGTTACATAAATATGCATTCAACATAATTTTGGAGATAAACAAACAATAACAAGGTTTTATATTTTTATTTGACTTATTTAGGTAATTCATCAGGCACAGTTGATTCAACCTGTTGAGAATCTAAAAAAATGTCTATCATAAAATTTTAAAAAAGTAATAAAAAATGAAAATAATCAATGATAATAATTACTATCACTGTTACCAATAATTGACACTTTATTGGAATTCACAGGTTGGGGAAGGCTTGTAAATTTTGATAATCTGTTAGTATAAACAGCATTTGAATGAATTGTTGCAGTAATTGTTCTTCATTTTTGTTTCATGATGATGTTTGACTAGCTTGCCATCATATTAATTCCAAGTCTGTAATAAATCTAAGTTGGTAGTTTTGAGGAATATTACCACTATGAAGACCATGATGAATAATTTCTTCTTTATGAATATCTTTTAAATTTCCATCTTCTGTATATTTCATTACAAATATACATTCTTTGTAGTTGGATCTTGTGTTAATCCATAAATTTGAATTTATATTTCTTTTATCATTGAATAACACTGATAAATAACCAACCATAGTTATCCCTCCTTAATAAATGATCATTGCCATATCTGTAATGCCATAATATTATTGAAGGGATTAAAGCAAAACTTGTTGATCATGATAAAAAGCTGAATCAGGCTTTTAAGCACTTCCAATAATTATGTAGAAAAAGTGACAACTAATGAAAAGAAAACTAGAACCGATTTTACCGTATTATAAAGTCTCTTTTTGTAAATATTTTATAACGTAAATTGTATTAAAGTTTCCAGTCTCTTAATAATTGAAATTGCCAAAACACTTTGGGCAAAAATTAATTTTTTATAGGCCCAACTATTTTTTATTAATAGTTGAAATTGGGAGAAGTTCTTTTATTCATTCTTATAAAAAAAATATTGAGAAGCCCAAACTATTGCCAAAGCTATGGTTGGCTCGGTCTAAAGACATCCTATTACTGCGCTACGCGCTCGAATTTCAAAAAGGTCTTCACGTGATTTTGGTTAAAAAGTTTGGCAAAGTATTAGTATAAATCTAGTGCTTATGAACATAGTAAAAGTACATGTTTTAAAAAAGAATAGAACTCTACAACAAATAATTTTTTTGAGAAAATCTCTCTATTACATTAAAACTAAAGACCTATTTTTATCAACTAATTGAGCTATTTTTTAAAAGAGTGGGACAGAAAATGATTTCTAAATTTGCACAAAATTTAGGATAGTTTGGACCGGAAAATTGTACACACACACTTATTGATCCACATAATGAATAACTAATCGGACACTTGTGTAGCAAAAATAATTAAAACAACATTACTAACAATGAGCAAACTGCTCTAAATACGCCATGGATTCAGGTAGAAATAGGTTGATCACTTGACTAATCAGGTGACAGACCGAGTTTTGAGACTAAGATCTAAGCATGGATGTACTGGTCTTGTGCCGGGCTGGATGGACCATTTAACATCACCAGACGTGTTTAAAAAATGGATTTAATAAAGAAAAACGAAAAAGAAGAACAAGCATCGAGAGAGTTAAAACACACGAGTAAGTATTACTGGAAAACTATAACAGAAAAAAAACACTTGCAATGAAATCAATTAGATAAAGATCATTTAGTTAATTTAATTTATGGATAAAAAATCAAAAGATATACCAAGAGAAACATCCAGTAAAAGAAGTAAAAAGGATGTGAATCTTGTTAAAGATTTTACAACGTTAGAAGATCCCGACTTGCCATAATCTGTTGAAGAAGCGTTGGAGGATCGCGAGATTACGAGATTTACTTTTCAAGATAATAAACGGAACAAATCTCAAATAAAGCTAGGGACGTTGGAGCTGAAATACTTTTAATATAATTCTTTCACTGATGAGAAACCCTGAAACTTTGGAAGAGGATCATAAACATTATTTATTAGTTAAATTAATTGGTTGTATTCTTTATGAACATGATGATTTGGTTAATGCACTACGAGTAAAACCATATTTACATCAATAATTTCACAGTGTCTTTATAGTGAATTAGCCAAAGTTCGTTGAACAACAAAGTGCAGATTTAATATCATGTATCTCAGTGTTATGAAAATATGCAAAGAAGAAGAGTTGATCAGTAATACATTATATCATTGAAAAGAAAAAAATAGATTAGATGAATTTGTATCGATTTTACAAGGATTAAAATCGATTGTTAGTATTGCTGATTTATCAAATATAATACCAACAATTAAAGATCATATTCTATATTTGATTCCTATTATCTATGAAAGATTTGTGATTTCATTGTTAATAGGTATTATTCATCAATTAATTTTATTGTTTTCTAATTGGATTTGATTAGATTTTATTTTTAGGTTAAATTTCATTTTTACGCACAACATATATACATTGTTGTAAAATTTAATTAAAGATTAGGTGGATAAAATGAGGTAATAATAATAAAAATGATAACAACAATAGCAGTTGATAATTATTGAAATAGTAATAATTTTAACAATAATAATAATAATAAAGAATTATATCTTTCTAAAGGTTAATAATTTATATATTTAAATTGAGTGAATTCAACAAGAATTTGTTTTAAATGAGCCACATAATAAGATTAATATTATTAACATTAAAATTGAGCCATTTCTGGCTTCTGGAAGACATTACTCTGCCGCAGGCGTTTACTTTGCAAACCATCTGTATATTTATACGGAAAAAATCCATTAAGATTTCATATCGTCAAGAAATCAACGTGACAGAAGATTTTAATGTTTGACAAAAATCCGATCTTCAACTGAATAATAAATAATCTACTTAAATTACGAGTTGTACAACTAAATTATTTTATTTTTATGGAAGATTTTGGTTTGTGTAGTTATTTGTGGTAGTAGTATGAAAAAAAATTTTACTGACGAGGCGAAGAAGGTAGCATCGTTCAATACTACTATGAGAGAGCTTTTCAGAAGATGGGAATTAATATAAAACAAAATCAATAATGGATTTAAATCCTTGGCCGACTGTGAAGCATGATAAGGGTAATATTTATTTTAAAAGGTTTAAAAGTTTAAATATTTAACCCTTCGTTCCTTGCATTCTCACGTTAAAGTTATGTATATAATTGATCATATAATATATTTATAAATTTATCAATAATTACGATGGCGAAGAAGGCCTACAACACCTGTGCCACCAAATTACTTTCCATATAAGGAATCTTCTTCATAATTTTAATATAATAACACAGAGAAAGAGAGCTGGTTATATTTTGCGAGAATTAATCAATAGATCTTCGATCAAAATCGGCATCATTATTATTTACTTAAATCAACTTGATTAATTACAGGTTTTTTAACTTTTCTTTTCTTTTTTTTCAAATTAATGTATATGTATGTATGTTCGTATGTGCGTGAGTGCGTAAGCACGTATTTATGTATATAAGCGCGCACACAATGATAACAATGAATTTATTTAATCATTCATTTGCCTAATTCTTATAATTGAAAAAAATAAAACTTGATTTTTAATTAAAAATCATCTGCTGTTGTTATTATTATTTTTCGAACAATAGGTATCGCTATTTGGATTGTTAAATGTTGTATTAATTAAGTGAATTGAATTGGAATTTGAATTTTATGTTTGCTAATGGTATTTATTATAAATATTTAATGAAATTTTGATTTTCTCTGCACACAAGTCTATCTGGTATGCATAGACTAAACTCTTTTTTATATTTATAAAATGTATATTTTTTTTATTTGTTTATTTACTAACCAAATTTGTATTAATTTTTTTTTGGAAAAAAAAGGTTTTGACATTTTTACAACTGTCTATTTATAGTCATGGATTAGAAATCTTTTAGAGAAAAAATTTTTTTATTAGACGCACATAGCATCATTACGTACTAATACGCATATAGAGAGAAAAAAAATATTAATTTTTATTTATTATTTATTTATTTGAAGATCTGCCGTCAATCTTTTTTTGTATAAAATAGGAAATTGGTGGGGTGAAAAGGAAAAAATCATTCAATGAATAAAAAAATAATGAATGAATGGATGAATGATAATAGGAATTATTCGTGAAGATGACAATATTAAAAAAAAAAGGAATTATTACTGAGTGATCCAATAATATAGGGAGGGACAGGAGATTATGTAAGTGCGTGATAAATAAATAAATGATTTTTTAAAGTTTGTGACAATATGATATTGTAACATGATTTAATGCAGAAAAAAATTTTTTCTGTTGAAAAAGAAAGCTTACGATGATAAAAAAAATAAATAAACAAGCGGTATTATTAATTGTTTGGTCAAGTGTCCTTCCATAATTGGATCTCGGAAGAATTTTATTGGTTTGTGAACCCGTAAAAATTTGTAATTCAAAAAGGACAAAGAACATTGGCTAATAATTAATTGGCTTGTGGAATTAATCGTTAGTAAAGTTGGTTTATTTAGTTAGCGGGTATAATTGGATTTACTAAATATATAAATATAATAATAAGTCTTGCGGATTCTAACCGTCGACAGTTACAACGACAATAATCTCAAACTTTTTTTCCCGTTTAGTAAAAGAATTAAAAATTATTTCCTATTTTAGATGTCACTTTAACAATTCATGTTGAAATGAATTAAAAATTCCAAAAAAAAATTTTTCATTTAAAAGTAATTTGCGTAAATACTGACACACGAGCACACGCACACACAATAAGTTTTTAGTAAAATTAAAAATTTTTTTTCTTTCCTCTGCAGTTTCTAATCCAATGTTTGATCAGCTTCAATTTTTAATGTTTACCCACCTGACCTCACGATACTAAAGGTTCTTTCTTAATCGAGAATAATAAAAACATCAATTATTAATTATTAAACATTAAAAGATTTTTATTTTCATTTATTTTCAGATCAACTTAAAAAAATGGGGTTTTTGTTGATATAATTTGTCGTCTTTCTCCACCAGATATCACCTGTCGTTCACATGTCCTATATAGTCGATATTTGTTTTGCTACTGTGTTAACCTAGCTAGCATTCATTCATTCATTCATTTCATTCGTTTAAATATTCAATAGATCGATAGATAGACATATACTGTATATAATATATAAATGATGCAGTGAATTGAAATTGCCATTAATGGTATAAAAAAAAAATATAAAAAAAAAAGCTAATTTTTTAAAAAAGTGCGGGTATTACCGTATGTTTAATATTGGTTTTTTAAAAAAGAGACAGGTTGCAGTCAGGTCAACACAATAATATTAATAATTGATGACGACAATATCATGATGAATGTGTTTAGGTGAAATGAAAAATCAAGATGAATACAACAAAAACAAAAAGAGATAACCAACCATCACGTAATTTGATTATTAATCCAATATAATCATGCCCCTCCCTCCCTCTTTTCCTCCCTATATCTATTTCACACCCCTAGAATTCCCTCCCTTAACCCTAAAAATTAAAAAATTAAAATTAATTAAAAAGAATTAAAATTAAAATTAAAATTAAAAATAATATTAGTGAATGTAAATTACGTCGTCTATATGTATGTATGAATGAATAAATGGTGTGATTGAAATGTGATTATTATAATAAATAAATAGAGAATTTGTGCAGGAATTTTTATTTTTTGGAAGATCATATTATCATATTTGGTAAGATTCGTTCTTTCGGATATTTTAAAACTAATACGTACATAATAATATTTATTATCAAATTTAAACTTTAAAAATATTTATCTTTATACCTCATTAATAAATAATAATATTATTATTATTTATTATTGAGTTGGGAAGATAAAAAAAAATAAAAATAAAAAAAGTAATGGATTTATGTAAAAATTTTTCCCTTCATTTTGTTCCATAATAACAATAATAAATAAACAAATAGATAAAATTATTAAAATAAATAAATAAACAAATTAAATAAGTAAATTAACTAAATAAAATTAAAATAAATAAATAATATTAACACAAAAGATTAATGTAATCAGAATAGATAACTATGATGTAATCTTTCACTGATAAGATAATAAATTATTATTAGATGAAATAAACATGTTTAATGTATGGTGGGTTATTTTAATGGCGATTAGGTTAATTAATATTAGCACTAAATAAAATATGCAGGGTTTTTTTAATTGCGCACGGTTATCAACATGTCAAATATATTTGTTATCACGCGCACTATATGAAAGAATTGTGATATTCTTGAAAAGATCACGTACCTCATTTATCATTTAAAATAAATCATTCTTAATTTAGTATATAATTCTCTAATCCCAATAATTATCCAATGATTATTCAATGATAATAAATGTGGTAGTGAATATAATATATTTGAACTGATAAGTTTGTGTGTGGCACATTATTTTATTTTTTTTAGGTAATGTGGTATTATTGTTATTGATTTTTATGCTTAATCTCTTTTGGTCCCTTTCTCTAAACAAACATTTAATCTATTATTTTCGATTTTATTGGCTTAAATAAATCGTTTTTGTAAAAAATTTTAAACTTTTCTACAAAAATTAATTAATATTATGTTTGTGCTATTTATCCATTTATCCCACTAACCGTTCATTCATTCATTCATTCATTCATCCATTCATTCATTCGTATTTCTGTAGTTATTATTGCTCCATTATTTCTTTATTTGTGATTTTATTTATTTATTTATTTTATCTATTTATTATTTATTTATTTATTTATTAATTGTTTGTTTATTATTTATTCTCCACAATTAAATTAAAATTACACAAGATTATTGGGAATACATACTATATATATATGTATATAATACTATATATACACATATAACAACAAGTGGTGTATAATTTGTAAAGCGAGGTAAATCGCAAATTAGATCTATTAGTTGCTGAATTTGATTGTAATATTTGTTAGGTTTAATTGATTGAATAATCAATCAATCAATAAATCAATCAATCAATCGATCAACGATCAATTGATTGGTTCGTGAATGCTTTCCAATCCAATTAAAAAAAACAAAAACAATGAACAATGTTTTGCGAGGGAAAATGCGAGTTTCTTCTAATTGACACAAATAAATTGTTGTGTACGTCATGCAGCAGCTTAATAAAACGATGATCATAATCATAGATGATGATGACTCAGTTTTTAGAATCATATCAGATTTTATCCCTCTGATTAAAAGCATGTGATTCAAGGTATGTATGTAATTTAAATCACGATCAAAAGTATGATTTAGGAGCGTAATCGATGGTCAAATTAATTAGATCATAAATTACAGGGGGCCAAATGTTTCAAAATTCTGGTAATCAACGCGGCCGTGTCCGATTTCATCACGTAACTTTAATCCATGCCCTTGTTTTTTTTCGGGTGTTCGAGCCCGATGGTGTTTACCGGTAATGGTAACAGATCGTTTTTTCTTTCGCTGATAAGCTTTTTAGAAAATGGTTACTAAAAATTATAACCCATCCCTGTAATTCTTTTGTGACATCATTGTTTTCACTTTTTTAGGTGATGATATCATCATCATCATCTTATTTTCCAAAAAAAAAAGTTAAAAATTATTCTGTAATACAAAAAATATTAAATAATAATAATAATAAATAATAATGAATATTATTATTAGATATTAATTATTATTATTATTATTATTATTACTATTTGGTTTTGGTCAATTACACACCCCATTTTTTAAAGTGATGGTAGCACCCTTATATTCTAATTATACCACCCTGATATGGAATATATAAGTTAATTAATTCATTGACTTTTTAATATTATTGATATTACGTAAAATTATTATTTTTAAAAATGTGACAACTAAAAAAAAATTATTCCTCTCCCAAACTAAGAAATCACTGGTGTAACATCAATATTTGAAAGTGTACATATATATATTTAATATAAATATATAAATATAAACATTCTCTCCCTCTCTTGACTTTATCACAAGAGAAAACAAAAATAATAATAAATAATAAATATTTATATAATAAATTAAACTGTACTGCGTAGTAATATTTGATGACATATTTGTAAATATATAGATTATAAAACATATTCTAGACTAACCAAACCATTAGTTCAAAAAGTTGTTATATTAGTAATTAACTAAATATACATCATCTCAATCAGACATCATAAATCATAAATCATAAATCTGTTTATAAAAAAAACACAATTCAAAAAAATCTTAATTGTATAATATATATATACACAGATAATCATTTTTATTTTATTTTTATTATTTTATTGGTATATAAACATCATCGTTCCCGCCCCTTCTTATTTTCTCTTTCTCTTTTTTTTTAACAAGAAACGGTTTGTGTTTATTGTTCCTACCAATTTTTTATTTTTAAATATATATCTATAAATTTATTATTATATATATATATTATATATATGTATATATAATATTAAATAAGAAAGAATAAATTATCTTCTATATATATATTATATATTAGTTATTAATAATATATAATTTGGAAAAAATTAAAAAAAATACTTAAAAAATAATCTTTTACACTTCTTAAAAAACTAGTTTTTTTATTAGAAATATAAAATAAAAATTTACGTTATATCTTACTCTTTAAAATTCTCATCTTTTTATTAAAAAATAGTATTTATATTCTTTTTCGCCTTCAATTTATTACTATATATATATATAATAATATATATATATATATACACAGTTTTTAAATTAAATCGTTTTTTTTTCAATTTTTCTATTATTAATAATTATTTCTTTGTATTTCTGAATTTCTAAGATTTATTTCTTTTTTTCAACAACTAAAACTTTTCTTCTTTAAAAAAAAAAAAGGCAAAAACGAAGTTTTTGCGCAAAGAAACGAACTACTCTACAAAACAACTTTCAAGTATATTTAACGGTTTTATTTTATTATTATTAAAACAACAAATTCAATTATGACTACTCTTGCTGGAAGCAATCATCATAATAATTATATTACCAATCTACCTTTTGTTCAATCTCCAACTTATGGTAATAACTCCAATTTGGTAGATAATACATTTTGTGGCAATGATCAAATCAATATGAATAATAATGGTAATAATAGTTATTTGGATGCTAATAGTTCTCAAACGATTATTAAATCTGAATTTTATTCTAAACAAGGAGAAGAAGAGTTCATATTAAACAGTTATCAACAGCCACAATTTATATTGCCAATATCATCTGGATCTACATCTCCTTTATCTCCTTTATATTCGCAAGCGAGTCATCATCATCACCCTCACCATCCTATTCAGCAACAATCATATGAAGGTGTTCCAATCAAAACCGAATTTTGTGACGATGATAGAAATAACCATCATAATGGCAATAGTAGCGGTAACAATGGTTATGGTTATGGTTTGGTTGATATCGATCACAACTCTTCAATCGAATCATCTCCTCACTTGTTAACAACAAATGAGTTTGATAAAGGTCCACAATTTGCTGCTTATAATAATTATCATCCTTGTGATGACAATTCATCAAGTGAACCTATTTCATCAGCCACCTCACCAACTCTTTCATTCGCCTACAATTATCCTCAACCACCACTACCACCACCACAACAACAGCAGCAACATCATCATCATCATCATCATCAACACCACCAACATCAACATCATCATCAACAACCCACTCTTTGTGACGCTGTTAATGTCTCTGATTCTTCTGGATCTGTGTCATCTGTCGCTTCACCAATCAATACACATATAACGGAATTTAACAATTATAATATCAGTGAATATTATGGTCTTTTAACAAATTCCAATAACAATAATCACAATCACAACAGCAATTGTAATAATTCGCCTCTCAGCTCACCAACATCTACGTCACCCTCCATAATAACATCAACCAATAATGCTGCGTCATTATCATCTTCAAGAGCTTCCACCAATCCTACTACTCCTACTAATCATGCATCACCAAATCTCAATGTTACCGCTGCTGCTGCTGCTTCTTATAATGACCAGATGAGGATTATCATGTATAAACCTGCTCCTCAAAATGATAGCATAGCACTTGTTCATCAAAATATTCAACACAATTACAACATGTCACCATCATTCTGGCTTCAATCTGCTTCACCTGCTTCACCACAACAAATAGCAGCAGCACCAGCAATGAATCATCATCATCATCGCCAACCAAATATGATTCCATTCGACTATGCTCATCATAACCACAATCATAACCACAATCACAATCATAATCATAACCATAGTCATCATCACATATTAATAGATCCTTCATTGATATCAACTTCTCATCCATCATCAGCTAATCATAATAATAACAATAATGCTGCTACACCAATTCCAAATACCATAATAAATACTAATAATCTTGTTTCTACATCATCTCACCACCATCATAATAACAACACTAATGCTACTATTAATAATAATAATAATAATAATAATAATTGTGGAGGTCGCAAAAATAAAAATAATAAGAACAACAACAATAATACAACAACAGCAATCATCAACCCTGAAAATACAGCAGTATCAGCTGTAGCAGATAATAAAGGCTGTAGTAATGCACAACAACAAAGATCGACGCCACAATCTTCTACGACATCATCTGTTCAAAATAATCAACAAGTGATTAAATGTCCACAAGCAAATTGTCCAAAAACATTTACCCGGATGTATAACCTTAAAGCACATCTTAGATCTCATTCACCAGCACGTCCTTACCAATGCACAATGTGCCCAAGATCTTTCTCAAGAAAACATGATCTTCAACGACATATTAGAGTTCACACTGGGGTCAAACCTTATGTTTGCCCATGTTGTCATAAGGCTTTTGCTAGAACAGATGCTCTTCGTAGACATTTCAAAATGGAAGAGACCTGTAGAAATTCTCCTGAAGTTCAAAATATGAAAACTAGAAAACGATATTCAGACTTAAATAATTGATTTAATTTTTACGAAATATATTTTAAATCATAAGTCGAGTTAATTATGATGATTTAAATTTTTTTTTAATAGTGAAAAAAAAAACGCGATTTTTTTTCCTATTTTTTATTTTTTTTTCGGTTTAATCACTTTGTAAATTTCAAATTTAGTATATAATATGTATATATAAATATTCTTTACGGGACTATTATATTTTATATATATGTATATATACACCAACTCACATATTCACAATACGCATTTTTTAATATATTCGTTAGAATTTTATTCCATCATAATACTCTATATGAACAATTATAAGAATTTTTTTTTTCGTAAAAATTTTCTTTCACCATTTTCTTTTTTTTTTTACATTGGCAAACAAAAAAATATTTTTGTATATACATAATAGATTCAAGGTTTTTCACATACATTTTTTTTTTCAATTATTTTTTTTCTAAAAAAAAAATATTATTAAGACAAACAAAAAAAATCATTAAATTTTTTTTTGTTAATTTTCTTTTAATTATGATTTTTTTACACATTTTCTTCATTGGCATTATTTCATTAAAACGAACATTTTACATAAAAAAAGCAAAATCACAACATTTACAAACACTAAACAAAAAATTTCAATCAATCAATTTTTCCAATAATTAATAATTAATACTTTCGATTATTTTAATAATTTTTAATAAATTTTTTTATTTTTTTTTTTTATGAATGAATAATAAAAAAAAATTCGAGGAAATTTTTTTACTTTAATAATTACCAATCATCAATTGATTTGCTCGTGATTTCCGTGATTTTTTCGTTTCGTTGTTCAATTGCTAAATAATAATAACAATAATAACAACAATAATAATAACATTGTTTCATAATAATTTATTTAATAGTAATGTGAAAAACATCTCTCGTGTTAATGCTTGTTTCATGAATCCGAGACAATTATTTTCCTTTAAAAAAATTTGATTTGATTTGATTTCCCAACTTTTAAAAATTTCCCGCGTTTTTTCTTTACGATTTATTATAAATTATTATTTAAGGAACTTTAAGAATCTTCTGGAATACACATATTAGGAAAATAATAATGAAAATTTTCCTTCATTTCATCACTTGGTGTTCCATTTATCATTATCATTATTATCGTTATTATCGTCGTCTCTATTAATTAAGTTGTCTTAATTAATTAATTAATTAATTATTATTATTATTTATTAAACACGTTTGAAAAAACATTTAAATAAATAATAAAGAATAAAAAAGAAACACTCGTACATTGTTTATTATTTCCTTGTCGTGTTGTTTGTCGTCTCTATTTAGTCTTCAAAATCTTTGATTTTTGGGTTTGTTTCATTTCATCAATTCTTTCGGGTTAAATAAATATCCTTTAATTGGAATGAAAAGGAAATGATAAACAAAAAAAAAAGCATTTTTTTTAAAAGAGAGAGAAAATCAAAAGTTATTTTTTTGTATAAAAAATAAAAACCTATCGATTTGGTAAATTATTGAAATTTTCCTTTTATGTATTCAAAAAAAAAAAATAAAAAAACAAATAAACCTAACCGTGTGAAATTTTAACTATCAAAAATAAAAAAACTGATAAAATAACAATATAGTGAAAAATCGAATTTTTGATGAATTGAAATAATGAATATTTTATACGAGAGAAAAAAAAGTTAGCGTGAGTAAAGAAAAAAAAAAGCGGGAAAAATGAACTATTTTTGATTATTTTGAAAATAAAAAAAGATTTTCATGATGACAACTATTACTCATTCATCCCATTCACTTACCACAAGCAATAAATATAACTTTATTTAGATTATATATCAGATTTAAATTAATTATAAGAATTTAGAAATTCTAATGATGATGAAAAAATTTTTTTATGCTAAAGATTAGATTAGATTATTTTATTTTATAGGTTAGTGAATTTGGGGCTGTGGTTAGGGTGGAATTGGGGTGAGTGTAGTAGACGTGTATATATATATAAATGAATGAATATATTAATATATAAAAGGAGAAGATTTAAAGGAGTTGGAGAAACAACATGTTAATACATTTATATTAAAATGGTAGTTTACACCTATTCACTTGATATCTTTATTTGTTGTCTGTCATCACAAAACAACAAATAAGAAATTTATCGGTCTTTACCGAATCGTCAAAATAATTAAATACAAACGAAATCAGCAAGGTTTTAAACCTTTTTTGTATAACCTAATAACTTGAAACTTCGATCTGCATGCATACATATACGTACACACAAAAACTTTAAAGAATCCCTTTATCAATTAATTAATTAACTAAAGAAGTTTCCTTCGTGATCGACATAAAATCCCTACTACTATATAATTATTACAATCTTTATATATATGACCTTCTTTTTTATATGAGTAGTGGTGGTCCTAATAACAGTGACTAACCTCTTCCACCCCCTATAACATAATATGCAAGCTCCCATCATCATATATCACACAATTGTTGTTTTATTTCTAGATAAAATCTCAAATGTCACAAAAAAAAATTTCATTTTAAAAAAAGTAAATAAACAAATAGACAAAGGGATAGAATCTGGGCGATCTTTTTATTTTCCTTTTAAAAAATCGTAAAAATTTTCTTTTATTATTATTACATAATAAATAAACAAACATTATATGCATAAATGCACACTATTCTGTTTTAATCTTTTCGGTGATATATAAATTCTAAATATTTCCAACGATTTTTTTTTGCTTGTAAAAAATTAGAACCTTGACCCTTTTTTAGAGGATGTCTACCTGATATCATCATGAGATGAGTTTGGATATATATAAAAATCATACGATCAATTAATTAATTATTATTGTATTCAATATATATATATATACATATACATATATATATACATACATCTTTATTTTATAAAGGTAAACAAATCAAATGTTCATTATATTTTTTTGCTTCTTATAATTTTTAGTTTTTGTTTTTTTAGTTGTTAGTTTTTTTTTTTAGAAAAATATATATATATAAAAAAGAGAATATAAAAAAAAACAAAAAAAAATAGATTTAAAATATTAATTAAAACCAAAGGAAAAAAAAAGGAAAAGGTATGTATAAGGAAGTGTAGTATCAAATCAAAAAATTATATTTATAATATTAAAAGAAATTAATCAAAATTTATAAAATGTTATTAATGTGTATGTATGTATATATATATATATATATAAATTAATATCTAATATATTGTTGTTGATAATAATAAAAAAACAATAACAGTAAAAACAGTAATAATAATATACAAAATATAAAGTTCATCTTTTTAAAAAGTTATTTTTATATATTAATATGGTTTTTATTAATGTTAGGAGATAAATTTTTTATTTACCATATAGTTTATATATTATCATACTGATTGAGGAACTCCAGTAACTGGTGGACTATGAGGTCCAAGATTGGTACTAGAAAGAAAATAAAGAAGTTGGAGAAAGAAGTTAGAAAAAAGAGGGAAGTCAAAGAAAAATTAATTTATAAAAATTAAAACATCTGTCTATATAAATATAAATATATTATTATTCTATCACTAAAATATATATTCATACCTTAGCCTTCGTTTTGATTTGGATTGCTGCTGTTTAATCATTGAGGCATCAAGTGGTTTGAGTAATTCAAAACTACACAATAATTCCTCATTGACGCTCATCACAGCCCCGAAATTATCAAATTCTCCACAATAATTAGGAGCTGAAAATACAGTGACCAATGTCCGTTCGTTGAAAAATTCATAACCATCTTCTACAACCATGTGAGCACGACATACCAAATCAAAATCATGTCGATTTAGAAAATCGTGGATTATTGCTTTTCCGAAGCAATAACTGACGCCACGTTCATTATCCTCCCAATCAATTGCTGTTTCTGAAGGATCTGACCAAAGTAGGTCATTCAATAAACCGTAATCCGGTATTTCTGTTGGCCGTCTAATACTTCGTATTTCATCCATCGACGATAGGTCAGGCGATAGTCCTCCATGCACGCAAAATATTTTGTTTGCTACAACGGCTGCAATCGGAAGGCAATTAAATACATCTACAAACGTCTTCCATGTTTTAATGTTTGATCGTCGTTTACATTCATCGTAAAATCCATATACTTGTAAATAAACAATAAACAATAAATAATATTAGAGAGTGTGAATATATGTATTAATATTAATATTAATAATATGATTATTATTGTAATTAAAAATATTATAAATTACCTCTGGTAACATTTGCACATTCATGATTTCCTCTTAATAAAAAAAAATTTTCAGGATATTTAATTTTATAACAAAGCAGAAGTAGGATTGTCTCCAAACTTTGTTTACCACGATCAACATAATCGCCCAAGAACAAATAATTGGCATTGGGTGGAAACCCACACATGTCAAATAATCTTATAAGATCAGAGTATTGACCATGAACATCACCTACTATTTTTACCGGTGGAGTAAGTTCTATCAATGTTGGTTGTGATAAAAATACTTCACGTGCTGCTTGACAAATAGATTGTATTTCTGCATTTTTTAAGCATACAGACTTGGAAACTTTATTTGAATATCCAACCATTAAAAGTCTTTGTATCATATCATCTATATCAATAGATTTCATACGTTCATTGAGTGATGTTGGCGATGTTGGTAAGCTAATATTATTATTATTATAACTGCTACTGCTATTAGTACTATTGCCACTAAAAGTACTACTAATTCCATATGAGAGTGTATTTGCAAGAGACGAACCAATTGAATCTGTTCTTTTAATATTACTATTGCTACTATTGTTACTATTACCGTTACTATTACCTTTGTTGTTGTTGTTGTTGTTGTTGTTGTTGTTATTTTCATTGTTGTCGTTAGAAGAACGTAAAAGAATGGGTTCCATTGATGTTGATGGAGACATTAGATTACCGTTATTACTATTATTATTATTATTGCTATTGTCTTCTAACTTATTTATGTTATTATTTAGCGTTGAAAGAGCATTATTTACATTCCTGCTATTTGTTTCAACACTTAAATTGTCTTTGGAAGTAGCAGAAACGGAATTAGGTCCATTATTATCTCTTTTATCCTTTCCTTTTTCATGATCGCTTATGATGTTCGACAATCGTTTTTTTGAAGCAGCATTACCCATTAATAAAGCGTTACAACTATAATATTTATTGTTTTATTAAATTGTTTCTTTTTTTTAAAAAAAATTAAATAGCGTTAGCAAATTAGCTAACTACTAATTTTTTAATATGATGTAGGATAAATAAATAATGGAAAATGAGATTAGTAATAAAATAGGTTGGGAATTGTGACGTATTTTCAATATTGGAAATTACACAAGCACATAAACACACGCACAATCAAAGCACACAACATAATTTGTGGATTACACGACATGTAGTCTCACAAAAAAAATTTTTAACTGCATTCATTATTGTTATGTTTAATATGGTATAGTTTCAATTATATAATAAAAAAAAGGGAAAAGGGAAATGAGAAATGAAAAATGAAAAATGAGAAATGAAAAATGAGAAATGAGAAATGAGAAATGAAAAATGAGAAATGGAAAATAGAATAAAAAATCATAGATAAGTCATAACCAATCAATCAATTGGCGAACTTGGATTTTAACACAATTGGTATTAATGCAGTAACGCTGATTAATATGATTGTGGTTATATTTTGAATTGTTAGAAATGTAAAGTTCTCAGCTTCTGACATTTCATGTATAGTTTCTCCCGCCTGGACATGGATAAAAGAAAGTGGAGCGACACCTACAGAAATCAGCGCATGTTAGTAATTATTTTTATAACAATAATAAATATAATATCCTTCTTATTAATAATTACCAAGGAATGTTGCCCAATAAAATTTACCAACATCAACTTTTAAATGAGGAGATGCAATATTGATGAACCAATTTGGTAGAAATGGAGTTACTCTCAAAAATAATATATAAGAAAACAAATTATCTCTATGCTCATTTAACTATAAGAAGGATTTTGAGATAGTAAGTATTCAAGTAATATATTATATTATTATTATTATAATATAACAATAATAGTAATTAGTTACTTGCTGATTCCAATTAATCATACGTTCCTTCCAATATTTTTCAGTAATGTTTTTACCGAAGTAATAAGATAATAAATAACAAATTGTTGCTCCTGTTGCTGAACACTTTTTTCAATCAATAATAAATAATATTATTCATAATTGATTAATTAGTGTTTAGAGAATAATCATATAAATAAATAAATAAAATTTGCTTACAAAACAAACAATCACTAAAGCCTTCCAACTTCCCCATAAGCTTCCACCTAAAACACTCAACATCACACTTCCTGGTATTGCAAAGGATTGCAAACTATATACATATATCATATATGTTGTAAATTATATATAAATTATATTTATATTTATTGTTATATAATAATTGTCTATTACCTATCTTACTTACAATATATAAGTCGTAACATAACAAATCAGTATGTCAATACTTTCACAATTGTTTAACACTTCATAGAGGTGCTTAACATCTTTTAGATCTTTTGGCAAGGTCAAACTAATCAAAATAATTAGTAATTATTATGATTATGATTATGATTATGATTATGATTATAGATTAACAATATTTCATCATCACCATCTTCTTCTTCATTCGCTCGTATTGTTACCTGTCTTTTGGTAAATATGATTCCAAAATCGAATACAATAATTTTATTGAAATTAATAATATTAAAATTAAAAGTATCGTTGAAAATAATACTGATGATTGATTTAATAATTTCATTTTGAAGAAAATATCAAATTGTTTTTTTAAAAATTTTTGATTTACGGTATTATATCATATGTAAATCATTTCTTGTACTAATATAAGTATTTATATAATTTATTAATTTATTTATTTTTTACCTTTTATAGAAAATGTTTTATTCAAAAGAAATATTAACAAAAAAAAAATGTGGATTTGGAATAATTTGGTTTGTACATGGAATTTAATAAATAAATAAACAATCGAGTTCCAATTTTTCTTTTCCATGTTCTTTATCGTCTAAATAATTAGGTTAGCTGCCACGTTAGGATCACGTTCTCATCTTCGCAAACTTTCAAGGAAAGAAATTAATTCAGTTAATTTGGTTAAAGCTTGGTAAACATTTTATCTATTGATCTGATCACATGAACTACATTCTCTTCATACATATCTATATATTCAATATCAATATATGAATTTATTTATTATTATTCTAGTGGCTATCTAAGTTCACCACCGGAACCACTAGCACTTCGATTATCTTCTAATTTATTGTATGGAATTACACGTTTATATCAACAACAGTATCAATTTTATTACGGTAAAAAAAAACGAGATTATTTCACCAAAATTAAAAAAATTATATTTAAATAAAAATTTATTTTTTTAGTAGATACAAATAATTTATGGCTAAAATTTCAAAAAGCTTTGTCCGAATTTCGTAATGAATCCGTCGACATGTCAACATCAGAGGCAAGGTAATCAATTAATCAATAAAAATTATAAATATGCTTTATAACACGTTAAATTTAATAGACAAATTTAATAGACAAGAAGCAATAACGCTGCGAGATGATCCCTATTTCGAAATCGAAATGTTAATAAATAAATCGAATGATACAGATATGGTAGAATATATTCATATTATAAATTAAATTTTACGCTTTTTTACAAATTATGTTCCTTTTTTTAAAAAAAAACTTTTTAAGGTTCTTGATATCGAAAGACAAATTGATTGGATATTATCTTCAGAACAAGAAATTCCTAACCAAGGTATCGACCAATTAAACAATTAATAAATCAAAGTGAAAAGAAACCATTATTACTTTATCGCGTGAAACATTCATACCATACTAATATTTTTTTTTGCTAGTTTTGACGAATAATCGAAAAAATGATAATAATAGATCACGGCGTTCTTTAATTACTCTCCCGGAAGAGATTTTCAGTTCAGGTGATGGTGAATTTACTCAGTCGTTGTCAACTGGTTTTGGTGGTGGATTTGGTTTTAGTCTTAACGATGATGATTTGTTAAGAACAGAAGATAATAATGGGTATATATATACACTCGCATATTAACGCATTTCGATATTATTATCATCGTGTTTTAATAATAACAATAAAATTAATAAAAATTGATTAGTATAGCAATTAATTTCGACGAAAATGGTAATTTACATGAACTTGTGCCTGACATTGAAGGTAGTGGTGTTGGTGGAGGAGGAATGGAAAGAAGTGGCGTAGTAGTTGATAAGGAGGGAATTACTGGTGGTTTGAATTCTGATACTATCAAAGAGATTGAACATAGAGTTAGAGACGAACATAATAATGTCGGTCAATCAAGAGACCACAAAAGACGTAGAACTGAACTTCAGATTCATGATGGTGTTGAAAATCACCATGATTTCCAAAATACTGTGGTTAGTTGTCTTTTAGCTTTTAATCAATTAATCAGTTAATTATGACATATACATGATAAATAGGAAGTAGAAGAGCAACAAGGGCAAGATGAACAAAGGATTGGACAGGATGAGATGGAAGTAGTAATTGAACCACGAGTTATTGATGAAGAAGAAAATAATAGAAGGTCATCCGTCTCGACACAACCGAGACGTCGTCGTAGACGTAGGCTACAAAATATGTACGATGAACCAGCAGAATTAACAAATGAACAAATTCTTCAAATGCGCGAAAGCGTTGTTGCTGATTTGGATATTGCTGAACAAAAAGCAAGAGAAAAGGTTTGGACAAAATTTTTTTTAAAAAGAATTATTTATGGTTTAAATTTGATAAATAATAAATATATGATGGATATGTTTATAAATACAAAATAAAAGAATGTTAGCCAAAAATATAAAGATCAATGGAATAATATATTATATACATCTGGATTACCACGTTAAGTTGATAATAAAAATAATATATAAAAAAATCACAAACAATTTATTGATTGAAAACATTTTATAATAGTGAGAGCAAGACCATTGGTAACTCTATGGGAAAATCATTGTGCACCAATGCTACAAGGTCTAATATATACACACATTAGCATGTGTATTTATATATGATTTATTAATGTAATGGATTGTAAATTTATCTTCTTTTGGTTTAATAGATGATATCGTCAGACAAAGAATAACTCATCCACCGCTAATGCTATCTAGTACGCGATCATATTATTTATATTTACATATTAATATATTTATACGACATTATTAAATAATAAAAATTAATTTTGATATATTTTCAAGGTAATGATATTTATTTGCAAGAACCAATTAGCCTATCTTTTACTACTAACATTCCTGAAATTAACAAAGAAGTAAGTTCTGTATAACGGGGTTTGATTTTTATTGATTAGTTGATAGTTTTAACGAAATGATTTTCTATTGTCCTGGCAATAAAAGCATGATAGAACAAGCAGTTTACAAGATGTTGAATCAGAAGTGTTGAGGAGAGGAGAAAGTTCAACAAATGTATCATTATCATCTGGACTTAGAAGGAGTAGAGATAGTAGTTTGAATAGATCTCATAACAGCAGCGGTAATTATTTTATTAATCATTTATAATTGACGTAATAATTGATTTCAATATATATTATTAGATCGGTTTTTTGATAATGATTTTTTGGGAGGATTTAATTATGGTGGTAGTGCTAGTGGTAGCGATTTTTTTGATTTATCAGGAGTAGTCGAAAGGTAAATAAAATATTCAATAACAATAGCAAACAGTGACATTATTGCTATTATTATTATTATTATTATTATTATTAAATTTAATAATAAATTTTCAAAAAAAAAGTGTTGACAATAGAAACCAAAGAAATTCGATTGGATTTAATCGAGCATTATTGAATTTATCAAAAAGTAATAGCGGTCAATTATCGGATTTTCCAATAGTTGATGGTAGATTAATATTTATTTTTGTTTTTTTTCTTGTTCAATTATTAATAATAGTGACGATAGTGATGATGTTTTTTAGATAATTATGGAGGCGATGAGGATAATGGTAGTTTAGCATCAGAATATTATCAAGGAAGATATTATTCATCAAGAAATAGAAGTATTGGGAGTAGTGTTGGAAGTGGTATTGTTATGGAAAATGATTCAAATCTAAATCAGGAACATGAATCAATGGCGTTCATGGAATCGGTTAAATCACTAATGTATGAGGCAAAAGTTACTAGTGCCATTTACCAGGATATAATTGACGCTCATAATATGAAACAATCCCAAGTTACACGATCATTTTATCATATCCTGAGTATGAATTATTGCATATGCGTGTTGTAATTATTATCCATCATATTATATTAATCAATATTTTTGTTTCTATATAAATATATATAGGTCTTGCAACAAAGAATCTGATTAAAGTGGCCCAAACAGAATCTTATGGAGACATTATCATAGAGATTAATGATGTTGATAATGACAATGATAATAACCATAACATGTAACTCCATACATTTGCCAGGTTGAATTGTGCAACCAAATGTCGCAGCAAATTAAATACAAATTGCCACAGTAATAGTTCATTCTTAATCAATTTAAATTTTTTTCGGTATATTTGACTTGCTGGCATTGCCGACACTTCTATTCCATTAAAAAAATATAGAATAAAAGTTATAGAATATTATTTATTTATTTTAACATCAAGTTAGGTAAAACCTGTGACCACTATATATGTAATCCTAAATCCTGAAGTAACTTCTAAACCTATTGTGGAGACACCAATAATCACTGCTGAACCAACAGTGACACAAAGCAACCCTGAATTTTATATGAAAATTTCTGAAGATATGCCTAAACTTGAAAAAGCATCTAAACCTCCAGTAAAATTACAATGGAATCAAGGTTTTTTGGAAACATCAACTATTCATATCAAACGGTTTAGAGAAGAAGATGCATCTCAGACAGCTGAAACAAAAGACAATTGAATTAAAAAACAAGCAAAATTTTCTAAATATTTCTCTCAATAAACAGAGGTTATTTTATTATTATTATTATTAAATTAACGTAAAATTAATTATGTATATATTATTAATTGTTATTAAATAAGCATTTGCATTCTAATGAATATTGTCATTTGGCCTTTTACTTTTATTGTTTATTAAACAATATAAAAGCCTGTGTAGAGGTTTTTTTTTACCTTGATATTGATTTTTTTTATTACTTATGCCTAAAAAACAATTTACAATGAAACAAAGGATCAAGGCTATTATGCTAATTGAAGAAGGATATAGTTTTCATGAGACATTGCAAAATAGGATCAAATGTTCATTTCAAAGACTCAAAAAGAAGTACAAAGAGGTAAGTGAAGTTAAAAAAACCAAATTTGCCTTTTAAATCAAAGAGATGAAAAGTCAATCATGTGTAAAATTATAACTAATGAGTGTTCTACTGCCATTGATATCTAAAAGCCTTTACAGTGAGAAAATCAAATTTAGTACTAATACCATTTGAAGAACACTTATTGTTGCTAAGTAAATTATTTTTTTCCTAATTTTCTAGGTTCTGTGTTAATATTCTTTTATTAGTTAGGACTTTTCTTTTTCTCTCTTGGCAAATTTCATAAGTAATCTTTTATTTCCTTGAATAAGCTTCCAGTTTCTGAGTACTGTTTATTTTGAAAATGTAAGGAGCAATTTTTTCACTCTGTTCTTTCTTCAAAATACTTCTAATGGTGCTATAATTCTTGGGTTCCATAGTAGATCTGATGTAAATGAGTTTCATATTAATTATTTTTACATAGGGATAGTTCTATATAACACTTAAGAAAAAGAGAAAATGACAAATGTGACATTATAAAACTGTTAAATTACAATCACATTACAATGACTAAATTTTGATCCCTGAAATTTTTGATAACACCAATGTTCACTTTGTCTGGTTTTGTTACAGCATGCCCCATATACTCTTTACATTGTCTACCAAATCTTCCCACCATCTATGGTGGGACAAAAATACTATAGAAATAGTCAAATAACTGATCTATAAACGTATATATATATATATATATATATATATATATATATATATACATACATACATATTTATAAAAATGAACCAAATTCAAGTCTAAGTATTTTAAACATAACTGACAACTTCTGGCTTCTTGATCCAATAGTTTTATTTTTTATTTTGAATTAGAATCAAATCATAAATGCAATCTGTGTCAACATTATGAAATTATATCTCGAATTCGTGTAACGAGGCAGTTCTCATTATTTCATAGGTCAGTTTTATTGAAAAAGGTCTCAAATGAAAAA